TGCGTGAACTAGAGCTAGACTTAGTACTAATAGCAGAACCATATCGACGTTCTAATTAGTAAATTGTCTAACTCCATTTTAGAGAATCTTCTATTTGTACGAAAAAAACAATTAGTTCAAAATTCATTATCACTTTAAAAAATCATTTAATATCATTATTATCTATTAGAGATATAATATTTAGGTTTGAATCATTCGAATAATTTATAACTCGATTATTGCTACATCAAAATGTTAAAAAAATCACCCTCTAAAAAATATGGAGTTAGACAAATTACTAATTAGATCGTCGATATAAACATCTGAGTACTCAACTCTGGGAATCGGACAGTACCACAGTACCAACAAAGCTGTCATTTGGTCCTGTGACAAATCACCATTCTAGAAGGCAGTCAACAACAGAGAAGCTGGATTTGTAGCAGCATGGGTAGACAGAATTCGTTTCAACAGCTGCTATGCCCCGGCGAGTCTTTCTTTGGAACAATTCATGGATTTTCTTGATCGTTTAACCGAAGATGCAAGGCAACACTTTCCCGTAGCAATAGCAGGTGACTTCAATTCCTGGGCAGTAGACTGGGGCAGCAAGTTCACCAATGCACGAGGAAAGGCTCTACTTGAAGCGATAGCCACACTAGATGTTGTCCTCCTTAACACTGGTGAGACACCAACATATTCAAAAGGAGAGGCAAGCTCTATAGTGGATCTTACGTTCGTCAGCAGCAGTCTTACGAGAGGAAGCTATTCTTGGGTAGTTATGAACACCTACACTGCCAGCGACCATTACGCCGTCCTTTGGGAAGTATCAACTGGCCAGAACCCTCGAAGAGCAGCCAGACAAACTAACGCAGTTGGATGGAAAGTGAAAGCTTTTGACCCAGCTACTTTAATAATAGCCTTAGATAGCGACCCGACTACCACATGGAGTGCTGAAGAGAAAGCAAAAGACCTAATGAAGAGAGTGACCCAAGCCTGCAACGCTTGTATGCCCCGGAGACGTGGCATAAATCATCGATCTTCGGTACACTGGTGGAACGATAACATCAGCGTTCTTCGTAAAGAGTGTTTTAAAAGAAGAAGAATATCTCAGCGTGGCAACCATCGACCGAACTCTGCAGAACTGGTGGCAGAGTACAAAAAGGCCCGTCGAAAATTGAATAGAGCCATCAAGGATAGCAAAAGACGCTGTTGGAAGGAACTCGTTGAAGAGATAGAGAAAGATCTGTGGGGCAGACCGTACAAGGTGGTTATGATCCACCTGAAATGTCAACCAATGCCGTCACCTACATGTCCACAGCTACTAGAGAAAATCGTCTGTACGTTGTTTCCTCAGCAACGTGAGTTGATCTATTCATCACTGCAGCCTGACCCTGAAGACATCCCACCTGTCACAGAGGAAGAATTGATGGAGGCATGCAATCGTGTAGGGAATAATAAGGCGCCGGGATTGGATGGAATTCCAAACATTGCTTTAAAAACATTTATTAAAGCAGCGCCGGCATTATTCATAGATACCTACAATGCGTGTCTCAAGGAAGGAGTCTTTCCTGAAAGGTGAAAGCGGCAAAGACTTGTACTGCTCCCGAAAGGAAAGAAGCCACCTGACGAACCATCATGTTACCGTCCACTCTGCATGTTAGACACGGCGGGTAAAATATAAGAGCGGATAATTCACCAAATAATAGAAGCAGTAGTTGATCCACTCCTGGCAGACAACTAATTTGGTTTCCGAAAAGGACGGTCAACCCTGGATGCAATCAACCTGATCGTCAACACAGCTAAGGATGCGATTTCTGGAAAGAGATGGAATCGCGGCACAAAAAAGTATTGTTTGGTGGCTGCATTAGACATAAAAAATGCTTTCAACTCTGCTAACTGGGACTGCGTAATGCGTGCCCTCGAAGAGAAACGAGTTCCAGGGTATTTACGTAGAATGGTAGCAAGCTACTTCACAAACAGAGTCCTCAAATATGACACAAAAAGTGGTCCTAAGGAGTATGATATTACTGGTGGTGTACCACAGGGCTCAGTTCTAGGTCCTCTGCTATGGAACATCATGTATGATGGTCTCTTGAAAATAGCATTGCCTGCAGAAGTGAAACTGGTAGCATATGCAGATGATGTTGCCGTGATGATTGTCGCGAAGCATCTTGAAGAGATAAATCTGGCCTTCGACATTACATTTAGACGGATTAACTTATGGATGGATACATTGAACTTGCAATTAGCTAAGCATAAAACCGAAGCAATGCTCATTACCAGGAGGAAAGCGATGGAAACCATCAAGTTACAAGTTGGAGAACATGAGATCACATCACAACCGTACATTTGGTACCTGGGAGTGATGCTTGATGCTCGACTTAATTTCAAGCAACAAGTCGAACATGTGACTGCCAAAGCATCAGTAGTTAGAGCGAGCCTAGCACGACTGATGCCTAACGTTGGTGGACCAAAGCAGAGCAGAAGACTACTGCTGTCATCAGTAGTAACATCCGTGCTCGGTGACACGACAAAATCTCCCCTGACAAAATCTCCCCGACAAAATTTCCCCGACAAAATCTCCCCGACGAAATCTCCCCGACAAAATCTCATTTTAAATAATTTTAAATAATAATTTTATTATTCCTGACAGTTGTGATGGTATTTTTCGTGTAAATATACACAAAAAATCATGATAAAAGGGCACAACGAGATTTTGAAGCGTATTTTGTCGGGGAGATTTTGTCCGGGGAGATTTCGTGGTACAACCCCGTGCTCACATATGGTATATCCATTTGGGCTGACGCATTAGAAACGCAAAAATCTTAGAGAAAAGCGGGTCCAATCTACAGACAGAGCGCTCTGAGAGTTGCCAGTGCCTTCCGCACAATATCAGAAGAAGCACT